AATTCCACTAGGTTATATCTCCATAACTTGACGGATAGTGTAAACATTCTTACTAAAGTCAAGCAAAGAGACAGGGTGTCTTGGATAAGGAGCTCACTACAGAGGCTGTCTTAAGACTTGTGCACTTTACAGGATTAAGTATAATTGATTAACTGTAACTTGATGGTAACAAAAAGGAGAAGGGAAGGAACAAATATGAACATGCAATAATATACTTAATTTATCAGTTTATTTTAAGGTCCCGAAGTTTTTCTGTTCAGGCCAGAGGAATGATGATTGCAAATAAGAATATCTATAGAAGAAAGTTATCTGTACTATGCAGCTGTATTTGCATGGGAAAGTATAAAAGAACCCAATCTAGGCATTGCTGTGTTAATGAAGTTGTGGCAGTACTCACTACATGGAAACTAAATATATCCAAAGAGTTTTTCATGTAAGCCAGAAGCTCAGCCAGACACTTAGATCTAAGGACAATAAGTTTAAAAATTAAGTCTCCTCCTGATCTGCTCATTAGACACTGTTTTATTGCAATAATGATAATAACATGCTTGGTGTTTGATTCCCACAGGGCAATACTAGGGGATGTTTGCATGCTGATCTGATGATTTTGGAGAACATCATCAACAGCCAAAAAAGCCAACACAATGTTGGCTGTCATCCTTGGGAATGGGACAGAGAAGATCATTTTGCTGCCATATAAAAACTTGGTCGGCCTACATATGGAGTAGCTGGTGCCATCGTGGTCTCTGCATCTCAGAAAGGATCTAGTGGATTTGGAGAAAGTCCAGAGAAGGACAACTAAAATAATCATGGGGATGAATCAGTTGCCTTACAAGCAGAGACAGCAAAGGTATCATGGAGGTGAGGGGTATGGTGAATGCAGACCATTAGCCACCAAATCCCACAATAACAGAACCAGGAGACATTTAGTAGGAGATCAGTTTAAAACAGGTAAAAGGATGGATTTATCCCAACATTGAATCCTGGACCCTCAAGGTTCCCTTTCAGTTTCATGGTCCTCACGTATTTATCACAGAACTTGGCATCAGTGAAAGGAATAGTTAATAAGAGCATAATGAACCATGTCCAGGACGTTTGACAGGGAAGACTGTTCTCAGTCACTAAATAAGCAATTTAAATTCTCTTTTGAAATTCAGTATGTATTTTCAGGGTGGATTTGTCTCATCCAGCTGTAGCTGCCTAAAAGGCCTGTGTTTCGTTTAAACTAGTTATGCTGGTTTAACGGTTGTCTGCAGATGGGAGGGAGGGACAGAAGTTCGGATGGGTGATTCATCCCATAGGTGTTGATGTCCAGAAGAGGAGGTGAATCACTCTCTAGATGCACTTTTTGACTCTCTCCATTGATTCAAGGGGGAACTTTGACAACTACATTGACCATACAACTCCCTCTTGACTCAAACCTAAATCCTTGTTGACCTTGCAAATATGCTCCATTTAAGATGTAAAATTTGTGCGCCTCATGTCAGCTCTGTCTCACTTTTACGGGAAATAAAAAGCAGTTAAAAACAGTTTGGCCATTATAAATAATTAGGTTGGGTGAAAAAATCTCTGATGATCATTTCTAGCACGTGGTATAACTAAGGCTTCCCCATACCTCTATTTACCACTATTTACCACTGCTTTGAACTAGGCAGGGTTGCAATAAGATCGTAGTGGTGTCCATTCTTTAACCTGGCTTGGTTTTGCTTGCAACATCAATGGATTTATAAAACAAGCAATTCCCAACTGAAAATTTAATACCACTGCTTTATTTGAGATGCTAAAGTAATGGAGCCATGTCTCCAAAGTCTCAGGGGATCTTGATATAGGCATCTATGAATTTTTGTTTTCTCCTCAACCTCTAAATGATTCTGGTTCTTTTTTTCTTTTTTTTTTTTTTTGTTTCCCATGAGATAAAACTGCATCAGATACACTGTAAAATCTGCTTACAGCGTCCACTACTCAGACCTCTAGACCAAACAAGTTTGTGCACGAAGAGTTTTAAAACCACTTGCAGGATTTCAAAAGGCCCTTGTTAAACTTAGACCTAAAGAAGGCTGGAGCTGTGTTTGTGTTTTACTTCCTGGCAACTCCATTTCTGCATCTTTCTTGGTCTTGTGGCATTGTATAAAAATAACTTTCATAATCTTGTCTGTGGTGACCCGGGCCATGTGACAGTCTCTTTTCCTCCAAGGTCTCTGCTGAAAAAAAGGACTTCTCTGAGCAGCAAAACTCTGGTGATCAATGGAAGAAAGTCAATAACCAACAGAGACACCAGCACCTCCTTTCCCCCTGTACCTTCCTAGATGCTCAGGATGCTCCTATTTTCCTCCATCGCTTTTCAGGTTTCCACTGAGTTTTCACAGCGCCTCCCTTCCTTTATTGCCACACACCTTTGTTGCTAACATCTAATGTTAATAATCCAAATTATAATGCTAATTAGGTTTTTTTTTTTCCTCATAAACTCCTGTTCTTTCTGTGTCTTGATGATTTTCCCCTTTGCCGGGTCCCTCTGTTCTCACCTTCCCCATCTCTGCCGTGCTCTGCCTTGTGTCAGTTGCTTGCAGAAGCAGCACTGTTTTTTCCTGGAATCATTCAGCGAGCTGACCTATTTCACAAAGCTGACCTAACTAATTGCTCTCATAAGCGGTAACCGTTTTTTTCTGACCTTTAAAAGGTCTAAATGCTGAGTTACGGGTCTTTCTCATGCAAACTGTGCTTGTAGCAATTAGCCACCCGGGGTCACCGTTCCTTCCAGTACAACAACTGACTGTACATTGCATGTTCTCACTAGGATAAAAACTCGGTTTTTCTAATAATATCTTAGTGGCTATTATCCACCTACACTGAAATTTGCTGCTTGAAAGCAAATGGCTGTAGGGAAGAGGGAGCACATCTCAGGTCACTTGCAGAAAAAAGACCAAAGGAAAAATTCAGCTCGTTGAGAATCTGCGTCTGCAGTCCAAACTGCTGCCCTCTGCTCAGAGTTTGCAATCATTAATTGACCAGCAGGATTTTGAATAGCTGAGAGAGGCAGATTGAGCTGAAGGACTGCAGAAAAGGTCCCCAGTCTTTGTCTCCATGGTGCAAATAGCTATGAAATTAAATAGTTTGACCAGGCAAGAAATAGAAGGAGATGCTGGCAAGTAAATCCCTGCACCTCAAAAGAACAGACCCCATGTTTAGTAAGAGAAGACAAATTGTGATAAAAAGTCTGGGATTTCTTTCCAGGTAATGTAACAAATATGTTTTACCAACCCAGATGGCTGCAGTTCTGCATATGCAGTTGCCTATCTTCAGGTATCTTGGAAAAAGGTGAAGAATTGGGAGTTGAAGACTTTTCAGACAGATGTTTCAAGAGCAAATCTCTCAAAGAAGTCCTTCAGTGGGCTTTGGCATGAGTGTTTCCTATTATGCTATTAAATCTGGAAGATGATTTGGTACTAAAGCAAAGTTAGTAAATATCTGTGGAGCATGGAGCAGCCCTGGCGTGAGCAAAGCATTTTACCCACAGCAGTTGCTCTGAAGTCTTACTTTTTTCTCTGTCCCCCATTGCATTTGAGTATGGGCAGTAATCTCCTGGCCAAAGGTTCGTTGCCAACAGACCCTCCAAGAGGACTTGTCATCTACATCAGTGAAGCTGCTCAAAAGATTTAATGAAAAGGGCAAAGGAAGATTTTTCAGAAGAGAGAGAGAAGGGGCTGTAGCATTTCTTCTGTCTGCTGCTCTCCTGAGCACTGCCTAAAGTCTTGCTTGCACCCTTCCACGTGCTGGGGGAGAAGATGCACATTTGTGCAATCTCCTGTAGATATGGCACCTTCATTCACCACCCCAAAAAGGTCTGGTTTGGGTCTCACTCAAAAGAAGCTGCCTTTCACAGGACCATCACCCTTAAGGGGGTGAGGACAGGGGAGCCTCTGACAATGAGGAACAGAGATACTAACACAGCATCCTCCGTGTCTGTGGCTGTGACTGATGGATGCAGCTGTAGTGGCATTTAAAAATGTATATCACATCTATTTCTTAGCATACCTGTTAGGAAGACTTCATTCATTAAGGATTTATAAAGGAGAAGTAAATGTCCAGTATGTGATAGTCATGATAGATTACCACAGAAAATTTAAATCTGTTTTTCTATAGTCTATCCCAACTAATTCTCTAGGTACTAACAGATAATAATTTCTGTGGAAATGGCTGTAGAAAAACTACATAAAGTGTGATACTTCCTTGATCATTTCCAGTTTCCCATTGATGTTTGGAAGAACCAATTTCACTGAAGCATGACAAGCCTAGACAATTTAGGAACAAGAGAAAGCCATTCCAAACCTGCCAGCTTCATCCTCATAGATCTTTTTTGATCAAGCTGTCCATCCTTCAGAAGCTCAGCTATCACTCAGAGAAACTGCAAACATGCATACATCAAAAAACGAATGGAGTGTGGCATTATCATCAGCACATGAAAACCTCCAAAAAGCCAGAACGATACCCCATGGGATCTTTTCTTTGTAGGTAGAGACTGCAGATGGTGTCTGAGGTCCACTGTCACACACTGGACAAATATCCTACAGCGATGGTCCCCCTCGAATGCCTGTCCAACCACAGATTTGGGGTTGAGTGGCTGCACAAAACCATTAAAATCTTGCACCCTTCTACTGACCTCAGCTGTAGTGGAACAGCTCTGGAGTCAGCAACTCTGATGTGTCAAACCACTTCCTACACATGACAGCACGCTCCGCCACACTGAGCATTAAGTTTGATTTCCTGGATAAAAGCTACTAATACCCGAACAGAGAGCAGCCTTTATTCTCTCTTGCGGAGCCGTACAGCGAAACGATGATTTGCTGACCAAAGAGCAAAGTCCTCGCTGCGCACACAGGGTGATGCTCCCCACCGGTGTAACCAGGCAGTAGGCAGTTCCTGAGCTCGGTCGGCACCAGCTCATCGCTTCTGAGAAACTTCACCATCCTCAGTGTTGCGGAGAAAAGATGTGAACAAGTCCCATGGAGCTCAAGTGCCTTTTGATGTGGCTCTTGTTTGGATCCGTCAAGGGGAACAAGCCAGGTAAGAGTATTTCTGCCTTTTGGGGAGGGAAAATATGATTTGCTTTTTTGTGGTGGCTGCTGGAGGATGTTTGCAACATCCTGACTCCTTTCAGGTAAGGAAAGATCTTAAAAGCTTAAGGAATTTGTGATTCTAAGGAAATGAGAGAAATGGGTTTTGTGCCCACAAACCATCAACTGCAGACAATCCAAAGCACTACAGGGTATTTTGTGTCTGAGTAATGCATGCAACCTCCAACCCATCACTGGCACGGTGGGCAGATCAAAGCAGCCTTGTGCACCTTAGGTAGCTCTTTGGGTTTTTTTCCGTTTTGCATGCAACCTTAGGAAATATAAAAATAGACACCGAAATGTCAGTACCTCTGTAGGTAAAATTGATGGCAATGCTATCAGTTAAAAGCTGCCATCTAAGTTTGCTATGGGTACTATAGATACCAAGTATTCTTTCAGCCACGCCTCCCAACTAGTAGTGGCTATAAACTTTGAACGGAGGCAGTTAATTCATTCAGCATAATTTTACACATTTATAAATTGTGATACTGCTTATATTTGGCTTATTTATTGTGACAAGTGTGTGGATTGAGAAATGGTCTGGTGATACATTAGCATATTTCAATTTAAACTGCTTTGTTCAGAGGGAAAAAAGAATATCTTACATTCTCAGTGCTCCATAAATGTGATACTTCCTTCTGTATCTGCTGCTGATGTCCAGGTTGAGAGGTATGAGCAGATACAGCCTAAGGTAGGTTCTCAGATACAATGGTACTACACCCGCTAATGGATCATCTCTAGCAGGGCTGCGAATTTTACTAGGGACAGGGCATCTCAAGGGAAAATTGTGTTGCTTATAACCGAACTCATTAATGCAGGAAGTACCTTCACAAATACTTAACCCCCAGGTGATTTTATTCTCATTAAAGTGTTTTGCCAGTAAATGCTGTACCTTTTCCTTCACAGGGCATTTTCATTGCCAAATGAAGTGCCAGTGCCCATGGCAAGCGTTTAAGTGCTGTGTGCAAGAGCATCACTGCAAGAAGTTCAGGCAGATATATGTAAATAGGATCGGTTCTGGGATGAGTCAGGTCCCCTATATCACATTTTCTGTATTACTTTGCCTGGGACAGGTTGTGAGATTTCTTGCTGGCAAGTCTCGTTTATAAGAAATCTTTCTGGTTTGTTTTTTTTGTTGGTTCTTTTTTTTTTTTTTTAAACAGAGGGGTGTTAAAGCAGCTGCATTTTATGCAGTTTGATGTGATTTAATTCTCTGATGAATAAATGCATAGCATTGCATTCTTCACTGTAAGCTCTTCTTTCCTCAGCTTCCTGTATTTATTTTCAATGTCTCTCCCAGTATTTAAACCTAGTATTTATACAGATTTAAAAAAAATTCTCCCCGCAAATAATACACTATAGTAGAAGCACCACTTTTTACCAAATTAGGGGTTTTTATTGTAGAGATGCCTGAAGTATTGTGGCTGTTAAGACCTATTGTTTTTAATTCCTTAGGGGGATCAACAAGGAGACCTGGGAACAGCCGTAAGCAAAGAAAAGGGGAAGAGGCTAGGTCAAACTGATCAAAAATCAACTATGTCTCAATTCATACGATGCTATTCATGGCATTTTGCCTTAGTCTCTTCAGCTTGTCCCAGCTTGAACTGCAAGTTCAGTTTTGTAAACAGATCTTACCATAGATGTTTGCAAGAGGGTGTCTGGCAAAATGCACTATCAAGAATAAATATCATTAGGGGAAAAAGAAAATAAAAAGCCTTTGTTTTACAGAACAGTTTCACTGATAGATATCAAAGTGCTTTGAGAGAGCAACGTCCTCTGATATATATCTGGAGAAACTAAGGCATGGGATGATCATTCATTTAGTAAAATTAAACTACACCTGAGTGCTAAAGAGGATAAGAGAAATACTGATTTTCTCATGAAGAGCATCTAATATACCTCATTTACTCTGCGCAGCAGCAGTGCCTAGAAGCTGCAGGCATGGATGAGGCTTGAAGTATACTAGGTGAAGGTCAAATACAAGATAAAAGCTGGTCTGTGCTCCTAAGACCTTTCCATCTTGCTATTCATCTTACAGAAATAGACTGAACAGATTTGCAAGTTAAACCTGGAAAGGATTAAAACTCACAAAAGAAAGAATTTCATTCAACTGAATTTCATTCACACAAGATGGGTACCAGATCTCAGTCATTTAAATGAGAGGAATTTCTTTCCCATTATACTTGCATATTAGTGCTCGCTCCCATGGATTTGCAATGCAATGTAGAATAAATTAAAGTTGTCAAACACATGCAAGTGTTTCTTGTAAGGTCAACCAGAGAGCAAATACCTTTATAAACCTCCCAGCTACAGTGGCCCCCAACATACAGCTAAAATTAAAAAAAAAAAAAAAAAAAAAAAAAAATAAAAATTGACAGAAAAAAAAAAAAAAAAAAAAAAAAAAAAAAAGTTAAAATTGTGATCCTGCCGAGGAAAAGCAGATGTTACGGACAGAGATCCTGCAATATCTGCTTCTGCTTTGAGATGGAGAAATCTTCTCCCCAGCTCATCAGAGATGAGATGTTATGTCCTTCTGTTTTATCACAGCAAAAAATCCACTCTTCAGCAACTGCTAGAAAGCCACTACCTTTGACTTTGCTCACAAGTGCCTTCAGAGTGTTGTAATTTTGGTCTCCCTGCTTTCTTCCTTCATGTTCAGCTTTGTCGCTCCTGTTTTTCCTGTTGCATTTCTACCCGTTGTTTCCATCTCCTGACCCTGGTCCTGAATCTTGGAAGAACCTGGTTTACCAAATTTTTTCTCTATCCCCTCCAATGCTTCTCCAGAACTCACATTTCCAAAGTCCTTCCATAACTTTGTTCACTTCACTCTCTGTTCCTCAGCCCTGCCAGGGTAGCAGCGCTCTGTCATCTGCTGCTTCACGTTCTCCATTTGTAAAGTGTGAGCCCCCAGATAAATACCAGCCCTTTTCATTTGGAGAAAGTTTCATGCATTACAAGGTCATTAAAATCATCAACACTGACAAATAATTTCCATCACATTCTTTTGCTCCAGCAAAAAGCTCAATTACTGTGCTGAGGCCACAAGTCAAATGAGATGAGTCCTAAAGCCACATTTGAAATCAAAAGAGTCCCACCAGACCTTTTTTCACTGTTAACCAAGACTGGGGTACATGCTTGTCAGCCAGTTCAATTATTTTCTGAGAGGATATTTGCTACTGCCCATCCAACCCAACAAAAGGCAAGGCTGATAAAGTTCTGGCCTAAGAAAAGGATCTGAATTCCTTCTGCTGTTTAAAAAGCTAATTTTCTTTCTCAGTAATGTGCTTTAGATGAAAATACTGAAGAGGCAGGCGTTACTGAAGTCATAGATTTAAGCAAAAATAAATGTAGCCAAACCTATTCAAAACCCAAATGTCACACACCAAAACAAGGCTTCCACGTACCGTATTCTCAAAACCAGACACTGTGTTCTGCTATGCTACCATGTGCAGTGGTTGCCTTTAAAGAGTTTGAGCTCTGTGGCTTTACCACAGAACCAAGAAGGTTATAAACACCCAGAAACAACAGAATAAGAAAAACAAATGTTCCCCATTCTCTGCTTTGTACATTTTCTATGCAGTGCACTGTGCTTGGGCTAGTTTTCCTCCCTCTCCCTGCCTTAGGAAACACTCTCCCTCTTTCCTAATGCTCCCTCTTCCAATTCCACATTTGCAGTCCAAGTCCCCAGCCCAGCCTCAATGCCAGGGCGGGCGTGAAATTCATCTCACTTAACTTCAGCCATCTGCACCATCAACATCTCCACCGAGCTGGACATGTGGACCCCCGTCACAGCCAGGGCAGAGACAGTAGCACTTTCAGGGCACAATTCTTCTACCAGGTTGCAGATAAGGGTGCAATGAGTCACGTCTGGTAAATCTCTTTCTAGTGACTACACTGGGAATTGAAATGTCTGCTTTTTGTTGGCTGGGTGGCACTCAGTCCATGCCTTAAACCAGGAGTAAATTGGTGATGAATGGGGATAGTTGTGTTTAGGAAGAGGAGGAACAGATGTTCAGTCAAGAAACATCTGGGTCCGTGGAAGATACAACAAGGTCTGCAGGCTGCTCTTCTGGGAACTCACAGCAAAGCACGCTTTAAAGTGATATCAGTGCATTAGCTAAATCACATTAATTATTGATGTGAGCATGTAAGAGCATTCTTCCACGACTGTAGCCGATAGAGAGAAGCACCTTAAAGCATTGCTTTGGAGAACTTAGGTGTCTGCTGTCCTCTAGAGAGGTCTGCCCAGCTCCACGTCTTACAGAAGGGGCTAAGAAGGCGTGTTTCTGAGGCTAAAAGCTCAGTCCACTGTCAAACCAACTCTACCCTTGCTGTATATTGGACATCTTTTTTAGCATTAGATTCCACTGCCTAGGTCAATGGCAAACAGCTGGTTAGCATTATTAAGCCAAGATAGAGGAGAAGTGCCTCTCTCCCAAACCTAATTTTCTATGGTCCTAGAAAGAGTTAATGGACAGCTCCTGATGGTTCATATTCTGGTTTATTTTACACTGTCTTTCCAACACAGATATCTTCTAGTACAGCAAACTCAGCAGGCACTGAATTCCCTACTCCTTAGAACATGACATGCCTTTTCTCCACTGATAGGAATATTAAACCCCATCTTCTGCCCCATGAGGCTGATGTCTCCTCCATCACTGTTTGCTTTAAATCTTGCGCCTGGCGATTTCATCAGCATTGTATTTCTGTCACTTAAACTGCAGACTCATTACTACTCAGATGACTTTGTAGGAGAATGTCTGTGTAACCTACAGTATAGCTAACCAAATTCTCCCAGGCAAATTACCATAAACTTCAGGTCTGCATCCCAGCCCCAGAGCTGGGATCTATTGCCAGCTTACAAATCCACATAGACAATAAATGACATTAATCAGAGGGGAAGGGAGTGGGCAGAGCTGTAGCTAGCTTGTTAACGGACCCTTTGGGAAAAAGGTT